CACTTAGAATAACAACTTATCTTCTTATTGAATATTTTAATGACAACTCCAAGCCAGAAGAAAATAAAACTAATACCACTGACAAAGCAGATTTATACTTTTACATAAAAAGCTAAATATATAATACAGTCACGAATATAAATGTTTTTCAAAATGCTGATTATCTATCACACATTACTAGGTCTTAAAAATCAACTTTGAGACCAACCTTTTAAAATAAAATAGAACAGACCAAACTAGAAAATATCAAAGTGCATTTACCCTTACATCATATAAGTTACACATATTTTACACTTTAATATCTGAAATATTAACAAGTACAAAGTACTTTTGCACAAAGAATCTATTCTCCTTCTGGAGTAACTCCACTCAAGCCAACCTCTACCCTACCATCAGAAAGAATTATCTTAGAATCAAGTATGTTTATATCATTCTCCTGCTTATATAGGTCTGTGGGGTAAAACTCAAACTTATTAAGTTTGGCAACGTTCTTCACCAGTTGTCAGCCTCATTTTCTAACGCTTTCCAACTTCTACCTCTCCCATTCTAGCTCCCCTGCAAATGCACTTACCTAATGGCTTCCTCCAAACACAACAGGCTTTTGATGACTCCAAGCTGTTTCCCTTTTGTACCTTTAAGAGTCCCAGTTCAGGCCAGCACAGTGGCTCACACCTGTAATCCAAGCACTCTGGAGGCCGGGGTGATGGACGTTTGAGCTCAGGAGTTCCAGACCAGCCTGAGCAAGAGAGAGATCCCCATCTCTACCAAAAATAGACAAAATTAGACAGGCGTGGTCCCAGCCACTCGGGAGGCTGAGGCAGAAGGATCCCTGGACCCCAGGAGGAGTTTGAGGTTACTAAGCTGACGCCAAGGCACTCTAGCTGGGGGGGGGGGGGGGGGGGAGGGTCACAGAGTGAGTAAGAGTCTGTCTCAAAAAAAAAAAAAAGTCCCAGTTCAGACTTAATTTGCTCTGTCTTCCCTGATTCCTCCACATGGCATTAAATAACTATTACTTTGTTCACTTCCAACATATTATTCAAAATTCTATCACAGTATTTACTAAATTTTATTAACCCCTATACATATGACTTTCTTCTCCCTCACCACACTAGGAACAGTGAAAAATAAAATTTTGTTTTTAGTGTCCAGCACCTAGCACAGAGCTGCACACTTAGGCAGGGTCTCAATAAATGTAGTCATTATAACCACTGGGTATCCAATAAGTGTTCATAGAATAAAATTAGAATTTTGGAAGCCTTACAATTAGAGCTACAAAAATACCCTTCCCTGTAGAAGGATTAAAACAAGGGTTTTGTTTGGTGGTTGTTGCCTGTTTATTTTAAAATCCAGGATATTTTAAACTATCCCTTGAGTCAGTTTGCATTTAAGTATCTATTTAAAGATCAGTAAATATTTATCAAAGAAGCTTTTTTAAAAAATAATTTTAAAGATTTGAAGAGCTAATGACCAAAACTCCAAACAAAAAATAGGAAAACAGTCTCTAATAGGTCAAAAAGACACACAAAAGTCACAAAAAATAAATAAAACATTAAACCACATGAAAATAATCATATTAATGGTCACTAGAAAGAAAAAGAAAATCATGTACTGCAACTGAGAATATCTAACTAAGATGGCAGAAACATAATATATTGAGATATATAATCTTCATTCTAATCCTTTATTTCATTTTAGTACTGTATCTCTGGGGAAAATGACTCTAATAGTCTTAATTTATGTGTTTTATTATAAAAATAACAGTATAGCTTAATGGAAAAGGATATGGACTATGAAACCAGACTACCCGAGTTCAAGTTTTTACCACCTCTTATTAGCACAGTGAGACTTCAAAGTAAATCATTTAACTTCTATGTGCCTGTTTCTTCATATGTAAAAGGAATACAAACTTACATATATTACCTATGTTATAGGATTGTTATGATAAATAATTATGTAAAAACATTTAAAAAAGTACCAGGCATATTAAGATCTCAATAAGTGTTAGTCATATTTTTATTATTGTACATGCACAGAAATCTTCCAGAAGGATAAATAAAAACTATGAAAAATGGAAGACTGGCATGAAAGAAAATGAAGAGGCTTATCTTCATTTTAAACCTTTCTATATTGAGTCAATATTTTACTGAGCATATATATAACTTTAATAATTAGAGAAGAAAAATATCATCTGACAAATACCACATAATAATTCTTCTGTTCCTCATGAGAGACAGTACCCTACTCTTATAAGTTTTTAACCTTGTTCTTCTCCTTTCCTGTTCGATCAAGGACAACTAAACTATCACCAGCTTCTCTGCCTAATATAATAATTATTTCTCATTAGGATGTTTACAACTACTCCTTCAAACATATACCCAATACCCATCTCTCTAATAGCTGCCATTTTTTTTTAACATCTATATTCCAGAGATTAGGCATACAATAGCTTTCTACTTCTATGATCTCCAAAGTGGATACATTCATGCCAGGGAGTACAGGAATAAATCCATCAGATGACTGCTGGAAGAAAATGTTATACGTTCTGTATACATTTAGAATTATCTTTAGGAAAAAGTAATGCGTTAAGTTTCACTAATATTTAATATACAAATTAACATTGGTGCCCCTGATTATCAGAACATCATGTTACATACAGGTAAGGTAAACTGAGGAAAAAGGGGGAGTTTTGGGGTTTTTTTACTTTTTAACATAGGTAAAAGCCAAAAAAGGGGGGAGTTCTACACAGAGAGCTTGACAGTGATATTCTCCTTCATTCAATTTCTTTGTATTGCAATGCATTGCAGTTTGTGCCTGATGAAGCAGATTTACATACACATGTAGTTTTATCTAAGCTAACACTTACAAAATGGATCAGTAGCTTTAAAATATTACTGCAAGTGTATCTACCATTTGACCCAGCAATCCCATTACTGGGCATCTATCCAAAAGAACAAAGTCAATCTATGAAAAATACACCTACACTGGAATGTTTATATCAGCACTATCACAATTGCAAAGATGTGGAAACAACCCAAGTGCCCATCAATACATGAGTAGATTAATATAATGTGGTATATGTATGCCATGGAGTACTATTTAGCTATAAGAAACAATGGTGATATAGCACCTCTTTTATTTTCCTGGATAGAGCTGAAGCCCATTCTACTAAGTGAAGCATCCCAAGAATGGAAAAACAAGCACCACATGTACTCACCAGCAAATTGGTATTAACTGATCAACACCTAAGTGGACATATAGGAATAACATTTATCAGGTGTCGGTGAGGGGGAGGGGATGGGTATATACATATATAATGAGTGCAATGCACACCATCTGGGGGATGGACACCCTTGAAGCTCTGACTCGTGGGGGGAGGGGGAGCAAGGGCAATATACGTAACCTTAACATTTGTACCCCCATAATATGCTGAAATAATAAATAAATATATTACTGCAAAGAAACCTGAAAATTGAAAAGCCTGAAGATAATACTGAAAATATAAGTACAAACAAACAAGAAAATATCCAAGCTGTGCTTCCTATGAACACTCTTCATCATTCTCTTTGCAAGAAGAAAAAAAAAGACAATCAAATCAGATCTGGCAGTAATATGTCACTTAGGATTTCAGTTTAAAAAAAATAACAGCTGATCCCCTTAAGGCTAAAGATGATGCTTTACAAGCTCCCAATATGAAGAAGGTATATTGGGGGTCAAAATGACTCACATACCTGCAAACTTTACAAGTTGGAAAAATAATTTTAACATATATCATTTTTTATGTACAACTAAAACAGTGCCAATTAAAGGACACCATGAATTATGAGACTATGCATGTAGATATCAGAAATATTAAAACACTTTTAAAGTACATCTTAAAATTGATAAACTATGATAAATATCGCCTACATATAATAGGAGCATTAGGTGGAATTTTGACTGTTAGGCATTTCCAAAACATAAGGAATCCATTGCTTCTCTGCAGTCTCTTTTCAAAAACATTTGCTAAACACCTACCTTTTTCATGAAGGTTCAGTCATAATGTATCAAGAAAAATAATCAAACAGGTAGTAAAAAGGAGAGGTGTTTTGAGGCTGTGCTCCTCCTGTTCTAAAAGATCTAAAGATCAGCTCAAATATGAAATGTTAGAATTTATCTCTCGTTAGAACTTATGTCAGAAGAACCAAGAATAAAATAAAACCAGTTTTTAAGACTGAGAATTAAATAGTCACTGAAGATGATTCCACTCTGCTAAAATAAGGTTAGCAGCATCAAGTTAGTAAGTATACTTGTTCACATAAACACATTAACTAGCTAAAAAAAAATAATGACATTAAAATCTAACTCAGTCTAAGCTAATTGGCTTGCTTACATTTAAAGATTTAAATCAAATTTTTAAGTAAATTGGTAGCTAGTATTTGTTACTTGCTAAACATAAAAGGGGGAGGGCTCGAGAAAGGGGGGATGTTGATCAAAGGGTACGTTTCAGTTAGAGTAGAGGAATAAGTTTTAGTGACCTATTGTACTGCACAATGACCATAGTTAATAATAATGTATATTGCAAAACTGCTAAAACAATAGATTTTTAAGTATAACTCCAAAAGAATAAGTTGGTAAGAATGTTAATTAGCTTGATTTAATCTTTCTACAATATATGCGTAGATCAAAACATGACATCGTACCCCATAAATATATACAACTATTATTTGTCAATTATTGTCAATTATTTGTCAATACTATATTTTATCAAAAGTAAAGTATAAAAAGAAAAGTTTGAAGTTTGCTCATTAACCACTGCAAATAATTTTAAAAACATAACCACAAAAGGCATAAGAATACATTCTTTAAATATGATTCCAAATTTCCTTATTTTCAATTCTACTACTACAAGGACCTTAAACTAGGTTGGTTCAGGCTATGGCTAAAATTACCTCAACTAAGAACAAAGATCAGATGGATTAAAAAAGTAGTTCACCTTTCACAGAAAAAGTATGAATTCTTACCAATAAATATTCACCAAGTACTTCTTATATGAAAGAAGGAACTCCAGAAGGTAAAGGGAGCAACCAAGATGGATAAGACTTATCTTTCCTCCTTCTATGAAAAAATTAGATGTCTGTTGATTTCGGTGTGTGGACAAGCCAGACAGTACTATCTTCTGGTTACATGCAACACTGTAATCAAAAAAGCATTTTGGCAGCTATTCAGAATGATAGCCACATATTTAATTTATTTTTTCATAAGCCTTTCTTCCTGGTTAGAAATTAGAAAAATTAGGTACAGTTAAAAACTACTAAGAGTTGTTAATAAAACCACTACAAATGTGGGGGAGTACACCAAGTGGTATTTCAGGGGGTTTACCTTTGTCTTAGACTACAACTATTTCGTATTATCACCTAATAGGGAAAATATTCTACACAGTAGAAAATTATGCCAAAACCAAGAAAGAGAGAGCATCAGCACTCAGGAGAAAATAAACCCCTTGATCAAAGTAAATTTTCCTAAATAAGGAAGTTGTTATACCTAATGAATACTACTTTTTTTAATGAAGCCATTGACTTCTAAAGGAAGCACAGTAGGCTAATTATTCTTCAATAGTCCTTCAATTTTTCTGATACTAGGGAATATAAGAACCATACATAATGCATCTAAATGTCAAAATTAAAACAAAATTTTAGTCTTAAAACACTTGAAAATAAAGTTTTGAGAAACTTTATGTCTGGAATTTTTGTCCCCCAAATTAAAGCACTTAATTTCTTGTCAAACTTTTCAGTACATTATTCCTAAAATGAGAAAGAGAATGCTGAGTATTAATGAGAAATTAATTAATGAGCTTCAGAAATATCATGGCAAAGCCATATCTATATATAATTTCTTATGGTTAATAGTCATGCAATCTCTGCCTCTACAAAAGCAAGGTAACCAACTGGTAGAAAATTTTGAACCACATGAAATGTAGTACCACTCTTTCATCCCATTCTCTTCCAGAGGACCATAACTAAAAACTATAGTTCATTTCAGAACTCTGAACTTTAATATTAAAAATTAGTTTAAAAAGTAGTATCAATAAAGCAATCAAGTTTTCTTCACTAGATAGCAACTATATATAAAGCAGGCATGTTCACTCCCTTTAAAGTAACTCAAATTCCTATCAACCATTTGAATTAATTTAGCACTACCTAATGAAGCCTTAAAACAATTTATCACAGGAGGGGAAAAGCAAAAATAGAGGCAGAAACCAGATGTGGTCACTCACTCCTGTACTCTGGAGGATGAGGGGAGAGGATCACTTTAGGCCAGGAGTTAAGACCAGCCTAGGCAACATAGTAAGACCCTGCTTATAAAAATATTTTTTAAAAAATTAGGTGGGTGTGGTGGCTGGTACCTGCAGTCCCAGCTATTCAGGAGGCTGAGGTGGGAAGATTACTTGAGCCCAGGAGTTCAAGATCAACCTGGGTGACAGAACAAAACAGTCTCTTAAAAAAAAAAAAAAAAAAAGGCAGTTATTTTTCTGAGGTAGTCAGACCAGAGGGAGGTTAATAAGAGAATGAAATAAAACTAGATACAGACACAATACGAAAGTCTGATCCCTGTTGACAGAATCTTCCATCTGATGAGAAAGGGAACACTGTTAACACCAGTTCAGAGGCCCTGGGCAGAGAACTCTGGACGAGGCTCCACCATCATTTGATGTAAGGCATCCCAGGAAACCTTTCAGCCCTGGGCAAACCCAGGACACTTCTCCTAGTTTTAAAACTGAAAATCCCAGACGCCCAGACTGTTGGTCACCCTAGCTTGAGAACTGGTAAAAAGAAAGCAATTCAAACATTTATTAAGCCCCTATGTATAAATCCTTGTGCAATAAAATGAGTTTACTGGATTAGATAATCTCTACTTCCACCAGCTTTAACTTTTAAATCTCTCACTGAAACTGGCCAATGGCATTGATCCATTTTCTTCTGAGTCATCTTAACATGCCTCTTGGAAGCATGAGACTTTGAAGATCACTCCTGCCTTCAGTCTCCTCTCTTCTGGAACAACACATTCTCCTGCATTTACTCCTACCTCTCTGGTGCTGCTTCTCAGTCTCTCTGGATGGCTCATCTTCCTCTACCCGAACAGAAAATGTTAGTGACCCAGGGCTTGGACCTCTGCTGTCTTCTCTATAATGTCTCCATGTGATCCATCCAGCTCCATGACCTTTAAACACCATTTATACCCAAGTAACTCTCAAATTCCTATCTCCCCCCACCCCAGTGGTGTCCCCACTATGCTCCAGACTTGTATAACCAACTTCCTACTCAACATCTCACCTGAACTTCTCAAAAGGATCTCAAACTTCACATGGCCAAAACAGAACTCTTGATTCCACTTATCTTCCTTACACTCTTCCCTTACTCCTAACTAACCTTCCCCATCTCAGGAAATAACACTACCATCCATTATTATTACTGAAGCCAAAACTAAATTTCATCTTTGATTCTTCTTTCTCTGACTTGCAACCTCCAAACTGTCAGTAAATGCTATCAGCTTTATTTCTCATGTATATTCCAAATCCATCCTCTTCTCTCTAAATGCCAATCCAACCACTCTAATGCAAGCCATCGCCTCTTACCTAATAACTGCAATGGCCTATTAACTGGCTTCCCTACTGCTATTTTTGCCCCTATCCCTCCACAATTTCTTTCCCCACACAACAGCCAGGAGTGATTGTAAACACCAAGGATAAAGAATGTCTGTTCCCTGTCCCAAATACATAGAACAGTATCTGCCTCATAGTAGGCACTTGATGTACTACTACTGAGTGAAATGGTAGTCTCTCCTGCCGTTTCATGCTAAGCTTCCTCTCACATACAGAATAGAATCCAAACTCCTTACAATTCCTAACATTATTGTCAGGTCTTCCTCACTTCACATTCCTGCTCACTAAGCTCTATACTCACCAGCTTCTCATATTCTTCAAACTCCCCAAAGTCATTTCCACCCTGGAGATTTTGCTGTTTCTGTTCCCTCCACCTGAACACTCCTCCCTTCATGCTAGGCTCCTTTTCATCATTCAGGTCTCACAGTAAAGTTACCTCCTCAGAGAGGCAACCAAAGGAACTCTGCCTACCCAAGTAACTCTGTCCATCCTCTGCCACCTCACCAAGTTTTCTTTTCTCCGTAGTACTTAACACTAGCTGAATCTTGTTATCTGTTTACTTACTGACTGCATCCTCTCTACTAAAATGTAAGCTCCCTAAGAACAGGAACTTTATCTTTCTTGTTCAGTGATGTACTCCCCAGAAACTAGCACAATACCTGGCACACAATACTTACTGAAAGAACAATTTAAGCACTATGCTAGGTAACAATTTTTTAATTAAAGAAAAGTAGAAAGTAAAATATTGGTATGAAAAGCAATTTGATGTTCTTTTTATGTTGATTATTCCCATTCTTAAAATAAGTCACCTCATACAATAGTGTTCTTTTTAGAAAGTTATTTTTCTAGTATCAATTATGAAAATCCTTACAGTAATAATAATAATATCATGTGCCTTAACAATTACATGGGTGATCATATTCTTCATTTTTTCATGCAAAATTTATGGGAACTAGTTAAGGTATAACTCACCAAAATACTAGAGACTTTAACACTTCATCATCTCAGAGTACACATACACACATTTTATCCCATCAGAAAAATCATGACTCTAAAATCATTCTGATCACAACATACATAAATATTCACAACATGAGATTATCAACTCACCATTTATTGCTTGGCCTCAGATTAATTTACCAGCTTCATTCAAGCCAAGAAGTGATCAAATTCCAATTATTAATCAAGTTCATTTCACAAAAGTCATCACTAAAGTTGAGATTCACACCTCAACCCCAATGTCTATTATGAAAGAACATGTCCAGTTGAGCTTAGGCTAAAGAGTTGTTTCACTGTTACCATAGTACTCTTGGGTCCATCTAATTCAGAACCACAGCAGAAAACATTTGTTGTAATCATGCCAGTTATTACCACTATCATTATGACATCACTAAACACTAAACACTATGGCAATGCATCATCTAAGAAGAGACAGATGTAAAGCACAAAGCAATGAACAAATGACATTTTTTGAGGTCAAATGTGTCCTATAACATTTTCTTTTTAGCACACTTCAAAAGTATAATACTCTACCTCAAAATGTTTTAAGGGTTGGTTATTTTTTAAATATTATTTATAAAAATGAAGAGACTCAGTATAACTAGGTATTAGGAAGTACTCAAAATATCACTATATCATACTAAATTTCAAAAGCCTAAGGGAAATACATCCTTTCTGCACCAAACTTTGAAACTAATATGCATTTTGAATGGGGTAATTTCAAATGCACTCAACCAAATGCATAGAAGACATACCACCACTTGTCCTATTTAAAATTAGCCTTCTAACCACACTTGCCAATACAAGGTGGGGGGAGCTTTTATTTGTCCTTTACAAGGAAATATTTATTTTAGTTTATAACACAATTACTAAGGAAAGCTGAAAAACTGTAGGTAAATCCAAACAGAAATCTTAAAGCAAAGGCCAAAATTTCAATATTTTTCAAACCACACTTCTATTCTTATTTTTTACTACCATTTCCTTAAGAAGAAAGTTTCCTCTGATTTTTTAGAAATCTAGTTCTACATTACCTTTGGTTTTCCCTTTAGTGTAGCCACATATTTGTATTAAAAAATCAACCAGGACACCAGACATATTGAGATAAACTCATTTTAATACTAGAAATCATTTATTTATCCCTGCCTTCACATTGGCCCTCAGGACAAAAAAGATTACCAATAAACTCAATCAGAAGACAGGTTCCCTTTGTTTCAGACAAGCCCCAAAATAGCTCAAATTAGTCAAAAGATATATTGGACAATAATATTTCAAAGATTTAAATTTTCTGCAAATTCCCAGAAGGGAAAAAAGATCCCTACATGAACCAACTCAGAGGTCATAATCTTGACCTCCACCATCTGCTCATTTGCTAAAGAAATGACACAAGTTTTCCACCTAAGGTATAGCTTTTTAAAACTTTAAATTATTTTAAATATCTTTATTAATATATTTGTTTGAAAATAAAGAAACAATAAATAATTACATATTTTTAGCATATAGCTGAAAAATTTTTATTGGAAAGCCAAGCCCTGATTTACCAATGGTTTATCATGGTCAAAGCTGAGATAAAATACATGCTTCTGTAAAGATATAATGTCTAAATTCCTTAAACTTGGATTTGAGAATATAAAATGTCTTCTTCCACAATATTCTATGCCATAGCAAATGTCCAGACGCTGCAATAAAACATCAGAGTCTTTCGGTTACTTAACTTTAAACACTAAGACATTTTCTTCATAGAAAATAATGCAAAAATGGATACATCGCTTCCAGTGATATACCTCCAAACAAGCTGCTATTATCAGAAGTAAATTTTAAGAGAATGAGTTACAAAGACATTACAGATGGCTTTTGACATGTACGGATAAATTGAAACCACTCCCTACAGTCCCTATCACTGAAGTTACCTTAGACGGCAAGATTTATGAAAACTGGTAAGCTCAGAAACCTCTTAACTCCTGTCTCCTTCACAGGATAAATAGTATACAATTTATAAAAAATAATTTTCTACCGTTTTTTTTACTAACTTCACTCCTACATCAAATTCAATTATTTCTAACAGCGATGCAGAACTAAACTTCAGTGCATGATTTCAAAACTAACTCTGGATTTTTAAAATGTATATGTCTTTTCTAAAAAACCACATTCCAAATGTCTAAACCATCTTGGAATTGCATTATTTGAAATTTCAATAGCAATAGGGTTAGTGTCAGATAAATAGCAGAAAATATTATCATCAAAAAACCATTTCCAAATGCTGCTTCTGCCTTTTTGTTTTGTAAATGATAAGTTTGAAAACATATACAAAAATATCTAAGTTACACAAGTCCAATGCAAACACTTTGTGGAGCAAGGTTACAAGGTTACAGGAGCTCGTTGTAGGGAAATTTTTGAGTACATACATATGGCTTTTTTTCTGAATAAAAGGTCTATATAACTTTCAGCTTTCCCAAAGGAGTTAAAAACTCAATTAAGTTTAAAGGACAGCCATCGTTAGGTAATCTGTCACGGGCAACCCAAACCTGATTTTTTTTATCCCTAATTAGGGGAGGATTTATCCTAATTTGGTGGCTCCTACACAACTTCTGAGCAATGCAGGCATGAAATGGCTGTCCTATACAAACTGCCCCCTTCACACAGGAACAAGGCAAACCCCTAATTTTCCCGGACGGGGCCAGAGAAAGACAAACGAATTCACACACCCATTGCTCAAAGGTCGATTGGCTCTCGCAGGACGTGCCCTCCCCTTACGCCGGAGGGGGCTTCGGGGCGGCGACCCGGTTCCTGTGAGGGGCTCAAGTTCCCTCGGGGCTCCATTACAGCGACCGCTGCACCCGCAGCTTCCTCCCGCCCCGAAACGCGCCCTACCGTAGCGGCCGCGGGCGCAGGCACGGGAGACCCGGGTCCGCGCCCCACAGAGGTCGGGCGGGCGCGGAACCGTGATCCGCCTGAACCGCCGCAGCACGGTCGCAGCGACCTTCCCGCCCGGGTCCCCGCGAGCGGCAGGCAAGTCCCGTTATCACGCCGGTCACACACCCCACGAGGGAAAAGGAGAAGGAGGACAGGAAGACGGACAACAAAGCCTGAGCCGTGGGGGCCCAGGCGAGCTGGATAGCTGCGGGCACTGGGGCTGCGGCCGGCGGGACGCGGAGCCGTGCGGGGCCGGGATGCGGGGCGGACGCGCCGGGGACGCGGCCCGCCAGATGTCAGCCTGCCGGGAGGAAACGGGGCGCGCGGCGGCGGCGGGGAGGCGGCCAGGGGGAAGACAGGCCTGAGGAGGGAGCGGAGCGCCGGCGGGGTCCCGAGGCGCCGGGATCCGCCGCGACGCCCACCCTAGCCTGGGAGCTGTCCTGTTCCTTACCGGCCGGGAAGCTGCGGGCTCCGCCGGGGCTGTCTCGGCCGCCGGCCGCGGGGGCCAGGAAGCGCCCCCACATCGCCGACGGGAGGGCTGGGTGGGCCGGGGGCGCCCGACTCCCCACGTCCGTCCTCCCTCGCCTTCGCCTCGGGCTGCTTCGGCGGCGGAAACTTGAGCGGAGCCTGGGCCTCGGCGGCGCGGGCAGGAGGAAAAGCGGGCGGACAGGCTGGCTGGGTAACGGCTGCTCAGCGACGGACGGGGAGCGCAGGGGCCAGATTCGCCGCAGAGGCGGCGGCTGCCATGGCCAAGCCGCTTGGGCTAAGGCCCGGGCCGGGGAAGCGGCGGCTCGGCGGTGACGGCAGCTCGGTCCCCGGCTGAGCCCAGGCTTTTCAAAGGCTCTAGGCGAAGTTGCAGCTGCGGGTTCGCTCCGCCCCCTCCGCCGGCGGAGCCAGAGCTCCGTCTGGGCCCGAGGAGGGCGGGGCCGGGCTGCCGGAGGCGGGGCCTCGGGCGCTTACTTAAGACGTGCGCGGCGCCGCGCGGGGCGGAGGTTGCGGCCGGGTGGGCAGGCTGCCTTCTCGCCGCTTTGCTGCCCTGGCGGCGAACAGTCAGGCCCCCAGCCGTCTCTCAACCTCCCTGCCCTGAGACCCCGCGAGTTGAGAAGAGGGCGGGACCTAGGGCCCTAGCCCGTCCCCCTCCCTGGGTAATCCCTCACGCCCGCGGAGCATCTCCCTGAAAGAGACTCGAGAGAGCTGCAGCCGCGTCACCACTGCCAAACGGGGAGGGGTCGAGGGGCTCCCGGTTTCGCGTGGGATTGGTGTTGGGATTGAAATCATCATGCATTCCACAAACTGCTTTTATAGATAACTGTTGGGATAGAAAAGAGGTTGTTTTCCTTAACTAATTTAAGGGGCGGGGGTACCACAGGCACCAGAATACCTACGACACCGAATGTATGCAGGAAAAGGTGGAAAAGATGAAAAAGGCTTGGTGGTAATTAAGACCAGAGGGTTCAGAGAGTGGCCCAGCTATCTAGTCGCCCAGTGTTTTTAGGTGAGCAACAAGAAAGCAGCCAAAATGGCATCAAAGTATATGATGGGACAGCCTTCCGCCTTGCCTCCTGACCTTAACATTCCTCCTCCTAGTCAGTGTCCAGCCTTCACCTGGACCTCCAGTGCAGGAGCAGACACCCTGAGGAAGAACATAAAGGTGCAGCATCCTTTTATTTTTAAATCTTACAGCAATGTGATGATCCTTCCAACATTTAGTTACCAAATAGTTCATTTAATAAATACTGGGTGAGCACTGTAGTAGGAGCCAGACTCTGTGCTAGGCCGATCAGTCAGAGGTAAACCAGTAAGCAAGTCCCTGACGTAGAGAAGTTTTGAGTCCAGTTATGCTTTTTGTTATTCAGGAAGTTTCTTGACAAAGGCCTCATATTTGTATTTTTTCCTTAAAGACGCTGTAATTGAGAAATATTGCTTAAAACTTTCAGAGGTTAAATTACATTTTAGGTGTATATTGTATCACTTAAATCTGTGTTGTAATTTAGCTGATTGAAGTTTTACATTTAGTCTAAGGGATATGTAAATATGTAAATACAGATGATTAGATGAAATTTTAGATATTTAATACTTTGAGAGGGGACTTTTAAAAATTATAAATTGTCACAAAAGAGGGGAATAGTACTTAAAACATCATATTTAACACCAGACAGTATTAAATTCTTCATTTAAAATGTTGCATTCCAAAAAGAAAACATTATTTTAAAAGTAAAAAATGTTGCATTCATAATACTTCAATTTGGATCTAAATCTCTGGACTGATTCAAGTGGTGCTATCTTACATGTATTTTTGTGATTCAAATTTATCAGATTGTGCAGACATCAACTAGAGAACTGAAGAGGGATATACTATGGATAAAAGTGATATTTCAAAATTAAAAGAAAATCTCATGCATAATATGGAGAAAGCTCAAGAGAGCTTTATATTTTAAAAAATATAAAGTATAAAAAATACAATGTGTAGGAAAATTAAAGCAACCAATAACAATTGAAATAATTCCTAAAGAATGATTGCCACTAGTTAGAAAATGATTTATGGATGAATTCCATAAAATTCCAAGAACTAGATAATTCTGGTATATCATAGGTATATCAAGGATCATGCTATACAACCTCTTCCAGATCACAAAAATAAGTTATCCAGTTTTTGACAGGTTGTAGTAATACCAAAAATCATTTATAACAAAGAAAAAATAAAATTAAGAACACTCTACCTTTTGAAGATGGATTTGAAAATCTTAATTGGATTCCTAGCAAGAATAATTCAACTATGTAACAATGACTAGAAAACAATTAGGTTGCTTAAACTGTACCTCAATTCCCTCATCTGTAATTTGGGGACTATAATTGTAACTACCTCATAAGACTGCTGTGAGGATTAAATGAGTTAATATGTATAAAATACTTAGAACAGTGCATGTGTGCATCTATATTGGTGACCCAGACAAGCATACAATCTAGAAATGGAACTCTGTAATATCTCCCCAAGAAAAAATAACATACACTGGTATAAGCCGGATCAGTTGTAGAAGATAATTTATCTACATTATCAGAATGGAGTAAAGTATTGATTGATATCCTTTCATTACCCTTTAAGGTTATTAATTAGTCCAGGAATTATGGTGAAATAGTACACTCTTGAGCAATAGTTACCAAATTATTTGGGGCCAAGTCTTCATTCTAGGCTGTGATTCCCTACCCAGTGCTACCAGTATAAAGGAAGGGAAATTAAGGAGAGGTTGCTGGGTGGTCTGACTAGGCCAAGAGGACAAAGACAACTCATCTTAAGTCCCTGATTCCTAAAAGGTACAGTCCCTGATTCCTAAAATGACAAATCCCACCTATACCTTGGGCTCCCGGTTGCAGTGGCCAGTGATAAAGTAGGTAAAATGTGGGCCACTGAAGCAGTCCTTGGGATAGGGAGTCAGGGTGGGAAAGATGGAATTTATCCAAGAGATCAAGTCTTCCAAGAGACCATTGATGTTCACTGGAACTGCTTA